CCTGCCCCTCTCAGCAGGGCAACAGAACACCTTCAGGGGGGCCTGAGGACCAGTGTGTCCATATGTGCCATCCAAGAACCTAAAGACAGCCCTGTCCTAACCACTGCCACCAGTGTTCTCAGGTGCCATCTTTCCCTCATGCCACTACTGGTGCCTACATGCTCTGTCAGGGGGCCTGAGGACTGGCCCACCCCATCCAACACCACTGGTGCCCACATACACAATCCCAAGGCCTGAACAGGCCCACCCCACCTACCACCACCAGTGCCTACCCAAGTGCATCACCTAGGGAATGGAAACTAGCCCATTCATCCTGCCACAGGTACTGCCAACAGCTGTGATTGCCAACTGAGGGTCCAATGTCCAGCCCACTGCTGCTACTGCCAGCACCATAAATTTTGCCTTGGGGCTTGAGGACCAGCCGACCTGGGGCCCCCAATACCATTCACTACCACTGCTTACACCAGCTGGGGTCCTGAAGACCAGCATGCCCAGCCCATCACCAGCCACCACAGCTAATGCCTGCACATGTCACAAAAAGGCCCAGGGACTGGCCCCTCTGGCACCCCTGTACCCAGAAAAGCCCCGCAACAGCCTCAACTAACAAAGACAGCTTAAGCCAATGAGGACTCACAGATACCAGTGACATTGACTACAGCTGAAGAAATCATTGATACTGTGCCCACCAGAATCAAAGCCAAAACATCCTACTCAGCCAAAACTACAGATATGCCTACAAAAAAGTATTTCCTTATGAAAGCCAATCCATAAAATTGGAAGAAGCAACTATTCCACTAGATGAATAGTATCAATGTTAAGGACACAAGAAACATGAAAAAGCAAGGAAACTTGCTCCAAAGAGATACAATACCTCCAGAGAGACACCTCCAAAGAAACACAATGATTCTCCAGTAACACATCCAAAAGAAAAGGAAATCCATAAAAATGCATGAAAAAGGCCAAACACGGTGGTTCACGCCTGTAATCCCAGCACTTTGGGAGGCCGAGGCAGGCAGACCACCTGAGGTCAGGAGTTCAAGACCAGCCTGACCAACATAGAGAAACCCCATTTCTACTAAAAATACAAAATTAGCTAGGCATGGTGGTGCATCCCTGTAATCTCAGCTACTAAGCAGGCGGAGGCAGGACGATCGCTTGAACCCAGGAGTCAGAGGTTGCAGTAAGCCAAGATCATGTCATTGCACTCCAGCCTGGGCAACAAAAGTGAAACTCTGTCTCAAATACTAAAAATAATAAAATGCCTGAAAAATAATTCAAAATAATGATCTTAGGGAAATTCAGCAAGTTACAAGAGAACACAGATAATACAAATAAATTAGGAAAAATTCATGATCTGAATAAGACATTTAACAGAGATAGACATAGAAAAATAACTAAACAAATCATAGAACTGAAAAATTCAATGAATAAAATTTTAAAACACAACTAGAGAAAGCAAAACAAAGATTTTCTGAACTTGAAGATAGGTCTTTTGGAGTAATCTAGTCAGACCAAAAAAATGGGACATCACCAAGTGAACACATATTTAAATTGTGAGTGTTTCAGAAGAAGAGGTGGGAAAAGGCATAGACAACCTATTTAGCAAAATAATAGTCAAAAATTTCTTAAGTCTTACAAGAGATACAGACATCAGATACAGGATGCTCAGTAATCCCAAAAAAAATTCAAAGCAAAAAGGTCTTCTGCAAGGCACATTACAGTCAAACTGTAAAAAGTCAAAGAGAGAATTCTAAAAACAGCAAGCAGAAAGCATCAAGTCACATATGAGACTTTACTGTAAAAAATTTTTAAAAAGATACCACCTTACAGGTCAGGGGAGAATGATAAAATATATTGCTGTGCTGAAATAAACCTGCCAGCCAAGAATACTAAACTAAGTAAAGCTATCCTTCAGAATTGAAGAGGAAATAAAGTCTTTCCCAGACAAGTAAAAACTGAGGGAAGGAGGACCCAGGCCCTTGGAGGAGCCTCAAAGTGCCTCATCGTGTAGGCCCTGTGAGAGAGTGCCATCAAGGGTCCCTCAGGGTTCAGGAGTCGCCTCTGGTGTCCCAGGACAGCCAGCAATTGCATCCAAGGGCAGGAAGAGCAACAGGAGGCTTGCCCAGGCCCAGTTAGAAGATCAGATCATGGCCACCCAAGAAATGCAGCATGGGGAAAGGGATCTAAAAACTGATGAGCATGGGTAAAGAAAACCTTTTGCAGAAACAGATGAGGAAGACAAGGGGTTGATGTACAGAAGCTACAAGTAATTGCAGCTGCCATTAAACAGGGTCTTGCTGCACAAAGGCTTCAAATGTATACAAAAGTTTGCATCAACACTGAGAACAGAACTAAACGTATTTTGAGAACACAAAAGGCAGAAATGCAGTTGCTGACTTTGCTTTAAGAATACAACATAGACATGCAGAAGACTCAGGAGTGGAAGAAAAACTAAAATACCTGTGGTCACAGCTACTCTGGAGGCTGAGGCAGAAGAATCGCTTGAACCCAAGAGGCGGAGGTTGCAGTGAGCCAAGATTGCGCCACTGCACTCCAGCTTAGCGATAGAGTACAAGACTCCGTCTCAAAAAAAAAAAAAAAAAGAAAAGAAAAACTAAAATATTTCAAGAGCAACCAAAGAGGTGGCAACAAGTTAGCATTGTTAGAAGACAGCAACTGAAAGAGATTAAGCTGCTACATGAACAATTCATGAAGAGTATCATGAAAGAGCTCTTTTTGATGAAGAATGTCAACTTAAAAAACAAATCACCAAGTTCCAAGATAAAATTGTACAGAAGATGTTGCAGCAAGAGTTGGCACTGATTCATAACTTGAGCTACACTAAACCACATGACAGTGTTTTGATATTCTTGTATAAATCGGTATATCTCTTCTATCATTAGTCTGTTTGTTAAATGCCAGACCTCATTTCTGTGATCTGCTGAATGAACCCTAGACAGTTATGTGAGCAAGCATCAAATGCAGTTATATACATGGTCAGATCAATTTTAACATTAATGATAATTTAGTTTAAACAAAAGAAAAGGCCAGGCACAGTGGTTCACAACTGTAATCCCAGCACTTTTGGAGGCCAACACAGGTGGATCACGAGCTCAGAAGTTTGAGACCAACCTGACAAACATGGTGAAATCCCGTCTCTACTAAAAATACAAAAATTAGCCAGGTGAAGTGGTGCACACCTGTAATCCCAGCTACTTGGAAGGCTGAGGCAGGAGAATTGCTTGAACCCGAGGCGGAGGTTGCAGTGAGCCGAGATTGTACCACTGCACTCCAGCCTGGGTGACACAGCAAGACTCTGTCTCAAAGCAACAACAGGAAATCATCACAACTAGATCAGCCCTACAAGCAATGCTTAAGGGAATCCTAAATCTGGAAGAGAAAGACAGCCATACCACCCTGAATGCACCCAATCTCATCTGAACTTGGAAGAGACAAGATGGTATCTACCATCATGAAAACACACAAAAGCTTAAAAGTCACTGATAGAGCAGATACACAAATAAGAAAAAGGAGTCAAACATTACGACTATTAAAAAAAAAAACACACCAAATTATAAACAATATAAAAGAAGATAGGTGAAAATCTGTCTCTATTAAAAATACAAAAATTAGTTAGGCATGGTGGTGGGCACCTATAATCCCAGCTACTGGGGAGGTTGAGGCAGGAGATGCTTGAACTCAGGAGGTGGAGATTGCAGTGAGCCAAGATCACACCACTGCACTCCAGCCTGGGAGACAGAGCAAGACTCCGTCTCGAAAAAGAAAACAGAAGATAGAAGACAGGTACAAAATATATCCAAGACAATCAGAAAACAACAGAAGCACAGGACTAAGTTCTCACCTATCAATAAAAACCTTGAATGTAAATAATTTAAATTATCCAATTAAAATATATAGACTAGCTGAATAGATTTAAAAAAAAAAGATTCAACTATATGTTACCTATAACAAACTCATTTCACATGTAAAAACACATATAGACTGAAAATGAACAGATGGAAAAAAATACTCCATGCAAATGGAAACCAAAAGAGTGCAGGAATAGCTATACTTACACATAATAGACTTTAAGTCAGAAAACACAAAACGGGACAAAGATGATCATTACATAATGATAAAGGGATCAATTCAGTGAAAGGACATAACAGTTTTAAATATATATGTACCCAATACCGACACACTCACATATATAAACAATATATATGTGATATATAAACATTATTAGAACTAAAGAGAAAGACAGACCCTAATACAAATAATAGCTGGGGATTTTAATGCCTCACTTTCAGTATTGGGCAGATTATCTAGACAGAAACATTGGACTTAATCTACATTACAGATTAAATGGACCTAACAGACATTTACAGAACCTTTCGTCCAACAGCTACAGAATATACATTCTTCTCATCAGCACATGGACCATTCCTCAGCAGACCATATGTTAGACCCCAAAACAAGCCTCAACAAATGCTTAAAAGTCTAAATCATATCAAGTACCTTCTCAGACCACAATACAATAAAAGCAGAAATTAGTAACAAGAGAAACTTTGGAAACCACAAATCCATAGAAATCTAACAACTGGCCAAACACGGTGACTTGTGCCTGTAATCCTAGCATTATGGGAGGCCAAGGAGGATGGATCACCTGAGGTCAGGAGTTTGGGAACAGCCTGGCCAACATGGTGAAATCCTGTCTCTGTTAAAAATACAAAAATTAGCCAGGCGTGGTGGTGCACCTGTAATCCCAGCTACTCAGGAGACTGAGGTGGGAGAATTGCTTGAACCTGGGAGGCGAAGGCTGGAGTGAGCCAAGACCACGCCACTGCACTCTAGCTTAGGCAACAGAGCAAGACCTCGTCTCAAAAAAAAAAAATAAAGTCTAACAACCAATATGGAACACACGCCAATGTACACAAAGAACCACATGGCTAAGCCATAAAAAACAATGAAACACAAAACTCAGGCAAAAAACTCCACCCTCAGAGTAGAATGCTGTAACTTCCATTCAGCCCTTCAATCCCACCTTCACTGGCTGGACTGGTTTTCACAGCATCTCTCTTGCCTGAGACATCACGGTATCTCTAAGCGTATCCAAGACCTTCTGGTAGGTGTCCAGAATGTCCTGAGCAGTGGGTCTTTCTGAGGGAGTCTGGCTCTTGCATGCTTTGTGAATATCAAACAAATGGAATCGGACCATATCACTCCCTTCAACGTGCCCCAGAAGGAAACTGGAGATATCTGGGATCTTCCAAATGTCGATCTTCTCATCATATGAGGGCATGAGATCATCGCGGAAAGGCATGTCCTCTCCGTAGGGCCATAGTTGCTCTGGAGCCACAAAATTCCCATGCAGCTCCCTGTGGCCGCACTTCACCAGCGTCCCAGAGCTGTGGTTCACCAGGGGTAAGGCGTCCAAGTCATTTGCCACAATGCTGAAGTTGCTTGTCAGCAGATACTGGGACAGTGTCTTTGGCAGGTCATTGGAGTCGCACATGACCCGCGTGCCCACGGGGCTGTGGTGCAGGTAATGAATGATGCTGACATAGTCCATGGCCAGCTGCAGCCTGTGCTGCCACGTGTTCACGTTTTGGTACTTTGAAAGATTTAGTATTTCTTCCAGGTTACTCAAGGAACCTAGAGGATGATATTCAGTAAGAATAGTGTTGTCATCCTCACAATAGCCAAGCAGCGTGACAACATGTGCGCCTTGTAGAGATTTCAGCATCTGCAGTCCATGGAGGAAATCATCTTTCATCTCCAGGCTGGTGAGCCGTGAGAGAGCAACTTTGCGCTCCTTCCACTCAGACAGAAAGACCTGCAACAAAGCCACAGAGAACATCAAGCCTGAACTCTCACCTAATTTAGTGACCAGAAACAACATACATCTTTTAAGTAGCAGGTGTTCTGCAGAAGACACAGAATTTAACGAGGGGCAGACTCCATCTGAGAGCTGCTCTCCATCTAGTTATAAAGATGGACTGATAAGCAAGCACGGCATTCAGCAAGGCAAGTGCCACATCAGTGGGTGGAACCTCAGGGCACGAAGCGACTCCTCTGGGCAGGACACTGAGGACTGCTACAGAAGGTGCCAGAAGGCTTCTGGAAGCTGGTCTTATAGGACAAGGGGGACTTGCAGATTCGATGCGAGGCAGGAGAGTGCTGACTCAGGAGGGAAGACTCCATATAACCACATGGCAGAGAGGAGTGGCAAGTAGACTGCCAGTTCCAATGGACCACCGCACAGTGGGTGGGCAAGACGAGGAGGCGGGGGAGTGGCCTGGAAAAGTAGATGAGTGTGGAGACCCTGAAAAGCCTACATGAGGTGCAGAGCCCTGCCCATCAGATGTAACGATGTTACCCATTAATTTTAAAAGGTAGCATGGTAAATTATAAATAGGAATATTTACATGTAAGAAAAACATTTTTACATGTTCCGTGGTTTGGTGTTACTTCAGCTGTAAAGACAGAAGCTGAAATGCTACACAAACACTAGACTTTCTCATAGAGTCCACAGCTAACATAGAAGAGCAAGTGCACATTTCTGCCTTGGATTTCCGTCTTTCATTTGCTTGCAGGAAGCACTGTAATTAAGGAAAGAACCTCTGATCTTTTGCTTAAATCCCAAGAGAAGGCAGAAGATTACAAAAGAGAAAGCAGGCTCGGGACTCAGGAGATCCTTGCCCCACACTCGTTCTGCAAGCAATGTGCCTTGTCAATGTTCAAATAAAGGTTACGGTTTCCAAAGTAGTTTTTTGCATTATTTATCAAGGGAATCTAACATCTAAATCTAAAATCTAAGGCAATAATCTGAAATAGGTAAGAAGTTCTAGGAATAAAAATCTGGCATTATTTATAGAAGCATAAACTGAAACTTATCAAAAGATGGGGAGCAGTATGATAAACACAGTGAGAACCCATCTTTACAAAAACTTTTTAGAAATTAGCAGGGTGTAATAGAGCATACACATACCTCCAGCTACTCAGGCAATGCTGAGGTGGGAGGGTCATTTGAGCCCAGGTGGTAGACTGCAGTGAGCGATTATCACATCACTGCACAGCTGGGCAATAGAATGAAACCTTATCTCAAATATAATGGGGTCACCAAAATGTATACATTTATAGTGTTATAACAGATAAAAGTAATGTTACAAACAAGAAGTATATAAAATCATTTGTATGATATTGTTCCAACTGATTAAAACAAGACAAATTTCTATGTGCTGTAACACATAGGTAAGTAGACAGACTACCGAATGAGAATATCTATTGCCATCATTACCCTCCAAAGCCTGTGCTGGCACGCACTTTCACCAGCAGCGCCTGAGAGAATCTTTGGAATACACCCTTTGTCACACCAGATGTTACCAAGGTTTGTAATCTGTACCAATCAATGCATGAAGATACCTTGCTGTTTTAATTTGTATTTCCCTATTACTAATGAGGCTGGGCATCTGTCATCTTTTTAGGCATTTCTGTATTTCTGCTGTCAGAAGTCTGTTCACTGTCCTTTATCCAATTTTCCACAGGGTTGTCTGCCTTGTGCTTATTAATTACTAGCTCTTTATATTCAGCTGACCCTTGAACAACATGGGTTTGAACTGTGCAGTTCACTCACACATAAATTTTCTTCTGCCTCTACCATCCCTTGGATACCAAGACCAACCTCTCCCCTTCCTCCTCCCTCCTCAGCCTACTCACTGTGAAAAAAACAAGGATAAAGAAAGACCTTTGTGATGGATGATCACACTTCCACTTCATGAACGGTAAATGTATTTAATAAACAGTAAATGTATTTTCTCATGATTTTCTTAATAACATTTCTCTATCTTACTTTAAGAATACAGTATATAATACTTATATAAAGTACAGTTAACCAACTGTTTATAATATCAATAGTAGGCTTTTAGTTGTTAGGTTTTTGAGGAATCAAACAGTATAAGCAGATTTTTTTATTATGTGGGCGGTCAGCACCACTAATCTCCACATTGTTGACGGGTCAATGTATTACCTATGAGAACCTTTATTATAAATGTAAAAGAGAAGATCCAGAAAATAATTAGCCCAGACACAGTGGCTCACACCTAGCACTTTGTGAGGTAGAGGCAGGAGGATTGCTTGCGCCTGGAGTTCGAGACCAGCCTGGGCAACATAACAAGACCTCAACTCTTTAAAAAAAAAAGTTTGCTTTAATGAGCCAGGCATGGTGGCACACACCTGTGGTCCCAGTTACTAAAGAGGCTGAGGTGGAAGGGATCGCTTGAGCCCCGGAGTTCCAGGTTGCAGTAAGCTATGATCGCATCACTGCACTCCAGACTGGGCAAAAGGGAGAGACTCTGTCTCTAAAACAGAAAAAGAAAATAGTTAACTTAGTTAATGTGGTCTTACAAGAATTTACCTGCTATGTAGTCAAATGTGTCCTCATTATGTCAATAAACATAAATCCTCATCACCATGAAATTTAGACACTAGTGCAGGGGGCAAACAATTAATAAAATAAATAGGAAATGAATAAAGTATGAGAAATTCGCTTTAGAGGAAAATTAAGCAGGGATGGTTTGCAATTTTAAATGGGGTTGGAGGAGTTCTCACTGGGGTGGCCTTGGAGCAAGACTTTGAAGGAGGTAAGGGTAGGAGCCATTTGGCATTTGTAAAACTACAGCCCAGCCAAGGGCCCTGGGGTGCAAACATGCCCACAGGCTTCCAGAACAGCATGGCCCTGATGCTATAGTAGACTGGACACGGACCATGGAGCAGGAGAGAGCTGGCGAGAGGGTTCAAGCCTCCCAGGGCCTTCTCGTTGCAAGGACTCTTTTACTCAGAATGAGACAGAGAGCCACCAAAGGATTTTGAGCAGAGAAGACACTATTTGACTAATAATTAAGTAGAAGCATTCTGAGTGCTATGTTGAGAATAGACTGAAGAAGTGGGGAGCAAGCGTGGAGGAAAAAGACTATTTTGGAGGCTGATGAAACAATCTAAGTCCAGGGTCACGGTGGCTTGGAGGGGCTGGACTGAGAACTGGTGCAAGCCTGAGGAATGGTCAAGCCTAGCTCTCTTCTGAAAGGAGAAACAATGTAACTTGCTGATGAACTGAATGTAGATGAGAGAGAGCTCAGGATGTTGCCCAGATAGATGGCCTGAACAGTAGGACAGATGGGAGTTAGGAAAGAATAAAGGGTGGCTGGGCTCTCAGGGAGATCTGGGACACAGTGAGTTTGAGAAGCCTCTCAGACACCCAGGTGCATGTGGGGTAGGCAGCTGGATAGAAGTCTCGAGTTCAGGGAAGTGGTCTCTGCACAGATAAAGCCAGAAAGCTGGGTAAAGTCACCTGGGGGCAAGCATGGAAGACGAAAGGTCCAGGGTTGAAAGGGATGAGGAGGTAGAGCTGGCAAGAAGCCCAAGAGTGGACGCTGTTCCTCCATACTTTAAACTGACTGTTCATGTGACATCTTTCCAGATGGCAACCACTAAATACAGCCTCAAGCATTAAGACATCACAAAGGATCCTTCCAAAGGTTACACAAAGTGAGAGCTACAAAATTATGCAAGAAAAAGAATCAAATCCACACTTTTGAAAGGATCCAACCGATACTATATGGATTTTTAATGTAATATACAGCAGGCCCTTCAATAAGTCATTTCATTATAAGAATGAGGAAAAAAAAATTGACTCCTGGCTCTGATACAATCTTCCTTCTTCTCACTATTCCTGTTGCCCCGTATCTATATTTCAGACTTTGGGCAGCTCCCCAGACACAGGGGTGCTGTGTCCTTAAGATGACTAGGACAGAGCCAGGTGGAAGATGGCCGACTAGGAACAGCTCAGGATTGCAGCTCCCAGTGAAAGCACAGAGGGTAAATGGACAACACATTTCCAGATGGATTTTTGTTGCCCACAGACCAGGAGATTCCCAGACAGAGGAGCCCCACGGGTCGCCAGCGTGGCTGTTTTGGCCTGTGCAGATGCTTGGCCAGCGCCCTGGCGCAGCAGTTCTTCGTACAAAATACACTGGTCTGGGTGCCCTCTTGGCTGGTGATTGGAGCCCCAGGAAGGCAGATCACCGATTCAACTGATTTAAAAGGGGACTGAAATAAGGAGCCAGGCCAAGAGATTCCTGAGCAGAAAAAAAAAAAAAAAAAAAAAACAGCCAGAAATCTCAGCGCCACTGTTTCAGCAGGAGCAGTGAGTTGCCACATGGGAAATCACACAGATCCCGGCACCTTTTCAACAGGTGACTGGAACACCTGGGATAAAGTCAATCATTCAACTAAAAAAAAAAAAAAAATACTCTGAGTCAGGGAGCCAAGTGATCAGGTTCGGCTGGTCCCACCACCCTACAAAATAAAAAAAACAGTAATTGAAAACGCTCTGGGTTGAGAGTTTAGTTTCACAGCAAGCACAGCTGAACCCAGGACAGTCCAGCTCTGTGGGAGAGGGGCGTCCACCATTACTGAGACACTCCACCACTATGGAGGCAGTCCACCATTGCTGAGGCAGCCAGCCGTTGCCGAGGCAACCTGCCACTACAGAGAGAGTCCGCCATTACAGAGGCAGACACCATTGCCGAGGCAGTTCTAACTACACACATATAAACAGGACTGCAGGGAAGATCACACGGCAGCTGGGCAGAGCCCACAGTAGCTCAGCAAAGCCTCTGCAGGCAGACAGTGACTAGGCTACCTCCTCGCTGGGCAGAGCAGCCCAGGAAAAAAAAAAAAAAGGCAGCAGCACAACGGAAACTCATAAATAAAGCCCTAACTCCCTGGGAAAGAGCAACTGGGGGAAAAAAAAGGGAGTTTATGGGTTCTGCTGCA